AGGCAACAAGATATATGACCAGACAGATAGAGGGCTAAAAAACCATATTAATAAATCATTTATAAAAAAAAAAAAATATGAATCATAGTAATATTAATAATATGAAGATACATACTAATATTAATGAAAATAAATATTGTTGAAAAGGTTATTTATAACACCATTAAGGTCCATACCACTTTCAAAGCATGGTTCTTTATGGAACCTTATAAAAAGGGTTCTGCTATTGTTACAAGCCGAAGAACCCTAATTTGGTACTGTTTAGAACCATTTTTCTTAAGAGTGTACCTTTAAAGTACAAATTGGCTTCATTGTAAATGCATTGTAGTTGTTTGCCAAGCTCATAAGTTACTCTTATAGCAGAGGTGGCCAAACCATAATTTTGCATTGAAATAAATAGAATATAAGTTAATATAATTACAAAAATGTAAATTACAAGTTTGATATTTGTCTCTTTATAGTAAAAAGTTGGAGCAACTTTGATCTATAGAAGTAATGTTGCCACGCAAGGAAAAACAGATTTACAGCGACATGACCAAACCACATGTTGACCTCAGTGTTTCCACCAAGAGAGAAATATTCAAAATAATCTTTGCCAGCCTGTAAGACATAATGGAGCAGGAACAATTTTCATTCCTGATAATGTTTGACTGACAACATTTATCATGCATTAAAAGTGAAATGCAACTGTAGAAATCTACAAATCTGGTAGCATTTGTCATATTTGTAAAGCAAAAGCGAGGAAATCCATTTTCACATGGTTTGCTCTATAATTCTACATTTTATGTTTCTGCGTAGAATTAACCATTTTCCAGTACTGTTGTGGCGAACCAGTGACCGTGATTAGAGATGGATACTCTAGTAATGGCTTTATAATAGCGTGGTTTTATAATTGCTGTTTGTGTGTTTTCTGTGTCCTTTCTCTGTTAGGCTGCCAAAACCACTATTGAGGCTGCAGTGCCCCTCCCTTGCCCTTAGTATTAAGCCTTTTGAGTGTCTGATAAAGAGAATGTTATTGCATTCCTTACTGGAAGCCTTAAATATCTAGTGGCCAGTATGGGTTTTCACTTTTATTAGGCATTCAGCACTTTTGACCACTGAACGTTGCCTCCTTAACCCCTTGACAATGGTTAAAGAAAACAAAGATGATGTTCTTCGTGTCTGTGCTTGTGGTTGAGCTGCTCCTTTAACCATTCTTGTCCTTGCTCTTCGTGTTGTATTCTCAGCAGAAGTGTGTAGGCCAGAGCTATTTTTGGCTTAATGTTTGAAATACTGGCTCTGAAAGACATGGAAAAACATTTTACTTTCAGAAAGCTTTGGCTGTCTGTTGTTGTGGTCGGCTCTGTTTAAGAAGTCAATATGTACTTGAAAGCGATAGTTCACCCAAAAATGAAAGTTTTGTCATCATCTGTCACCTTCATGCCATTCCAAGACTGTATGACTTATGAAGATTTTTGAAAGTCAGGGGTCCAAACAACATTGTACCTGCAAAATAGTACTACAAATAACTGATTATGTGATTTCTTAGCAGTTTAACAGCTCATCTGTTTTACAGTCAGTTGGGCCTTGCAAGCACACCAACATGTCATATGTCCTGAACATATCGTCAATTAATCATCCAAATATAAGAGCTATTTATTCCTTAAGTGTCTGCTTGTAAACCTTACATAGAGTTTAACCATACCTCTTGTCAAATGTCCATTAATTTAAGGGTGCAACAATTTTTGCTGGACAAATATAGTGCTAAAAGGTGAAATCTATAAAAGCATTTATGTTCACATGCGTACATACAATTTCACATAACGCATGACTCAGAGAAAAATTCTCAAGGTGGAAGCCTTGAGAAATTTGTAGACCCTGTCCTTGTTACCTCGGCAACACAGGTCCTTGCATAATCTTCCCACATGATGGCATAGAACCTCCTAAATCAAGGGACTTTCCAGTTCAAAGTGTGTACAGATCACTCATGGCACCGGACTGGTTGCCTTCCGTTAGAAAAGTCCCTTTAAGGGAAGTCAGTTTTCTCAGCGGCCATATTGGCAACATCCTACAAAAATCTCTCCTATCTACAGGAATAGGGAGAGACCGAAACCTCTAAAACTGATTGTCAAGATTGCTTTTTAATATGTTTCAAATTAGAAATAAAATTAGATAACAATGGCATCATAAATGTAGCTGTTCTGAGCAACTCAAGCCAAAAGCTGTATTTTTATGGCTAGTCTTGCTAATCCAAGTGGAATAGCTATTATATGAATAAATGACGTAACTATCTCACCATTATCTTCGCATGGCTTCGAATTAGAAATATAGCCTACCATATAAAATAATTTAAAATGTCTTAAATATTATTATTAAATGTATTTATTTTCTAAATTCTGCTACCTAAATTCTGTTAACTTAAGTTGGTCCTCTACTACATAATATATTATGTTAGCTTGTGTCCACTGCAAAGTCCTGTCCCCCTTATACATGTCTGGACATGTTAGGACATGTCTTAGCATCTATGAGAAATGTCAGGAAGGTTCTGTAGGGTGAACGTTCTTTCAGTGTGAAGACTGAATAGGGGTCAGTACTTAATACAGCAAACAGAACAGTAATTATGGAATTATGCAATATTGTTTTGCTCCAGGGGTTTGCAAAAGTGACTGGATGTCCTTGAGAAGAAAATGGACCTGATCAGTGAGTGCATTTCCTCTTTGTGATGCATGCAATTTTCCTTTCGCTGTAGTTATGTCTGTTTAATCTGAGTTTTATGAGACCTGAGAGTGAGGGCAAAAATAATAATAATAATAATAATAATAAGAAGAAAACAGAAACGGAGAAACTAAGACTAGCACCCGAGACAGAACACTTCATCACTCTTTCATGTCCCTTGTGACTGGTTAAGGCAATACCTCAACAAACAGTAACATAGCAACTCTCCCAAACTCTCCTGGTATTAGAAGGAATGGAGATATATCAAAGACTGTCGTAGACTGAGCCATCCAGAGTGAAAATAGTACAGGTATTCCCTGAGTCTTCCTAACAGTCTCAGCTGAAACTGCTGGACGCCTGTTGCCTCTGGCAAGAAAAAAATTATAATGTATAGAATTGTCTTATAACAGTTGATGCTTAATAATTATGTGGAAACTGTGATACATTTTCCTTCATAATTATTTTATGAATAAAAAGTTCAAAAGAACAGACTTTTTTAAAACAGATTTTTTTTTTGCATCATGTATATTTACTGTCACTTTTGATCAATTTGGCATCCTTGCTGATTAAAAGTATTAATTTCTTTAAAAAACTTTTGAACAGTATATATATGTAACTATGCCAATTAAATTTTACATGTGTGTTTTACTCATGTAAACTAATAATATTTATTAGTTTATGTTTAAGATTTTAAAACCTTGATGACACAAAAGAAGATTAGGATTCCTCATTAAGATCAAGAAGACGACACACTGAGAGATGTCCATTTTTGGGTGAATGATTGGCTTTGAGAAGCCTATGTGTGTTGAGTTGTCCAAAGAGGAGTTTCCTTTCATATACTATATGGTGGCTTTGTATCTGTCTGTGGTTTGGCAAACACACCCAATGCAGTGCTAAGATCTGCTCAGAGAGAGTAAACCAGGCCAGGCTAATATTAGAGGTTACATATTGCTGATGGCTTTTGACTCACGTGTTTCAAACACAGGGTGTTTTCAGATCTTCTCAAGGTTGTGTGGGAAGATAACATTTTTGTATGTGAGTGTGTGTGTGATGGAACAAGTGACTATTTGCATGTGGTTCCCCCCTGAGGGTGAATTGCAACTACTTTGCATGCTTAATGTGAGAGACATATGGGTTTCTGTTTGTGTATGTGCTTATTTAGGTGCGTGCATTTGCATTATAATAAGATGAGCTTGTTTTTGGTGTATTCTTCTATACTTAATATTTAGTAATAGACCTTTGAATATTGTGTTGGACTTTAGGGGGCTTTTGAGTCGAATATGTGAGTAATTGTGCAATTCTGGGAGTCAAGTGTAGGCCTATAGGCTAATGATAATGAAACATTAAACATGAATTTATCCAATTAGAGAACGTTTAGTATTCGTGCTTCAATGGTTCTCTATACGTTATCACACAAAACCTCCCTGCAATGTTAGTATATGTGCCATCAGTAATGGGTTTCCCAAGAAATAACCAAGCGGGAAGCATACACTAACGTTAGGGAAACCTTCTGGGTTTATTTCAGGGCAGACTTATATAGCTCAATGCAAATGTGCTTATTCTGATCACATGTAATGGTGGTGAGGCACTAAATTAGTTTATTAGAAAACGCCTAGAAACCCTCACTAAGACTCTCTCAAGGGAATTTCATGGTCTGTGGTGTGTTTGTGTTTCTCGCGAGTGCAGTGGTCTACGTGAGGGTACGTGTTCCTTCTAGTGTGCTCGGTCCCTTGCTCACAATTTTTCTTCCTCCCTCCCTCCCTCCCTCTCCCTGTCCTTCCCTCTCTCTCCCTGTCCTTCCCTCTCTCTCCCACTCTCACTCTCTCTCTCTGTCTCTCCATGTGTGCGTAGTCTGGGCGCCCTGCCAAGTGGAGTGTGTTTTTTGAATGAATACCTGATGAGGCTGCTGAGGCTGACTGGGGGAGGAGGAGCCGTGTTCTCTAGAGCACTGTGTGTGTATGTGTGAAGAGCAAGAGAGAGAGAAAGAGAGAAAGAGAGAGAGCTGGCAGTCAGTGTGCCTTGCATAACATACGCTGTAGCTCTCACACGTAGGGCTAGTGAAACAGCGCAGACGAGGGGACTTCCTTTACTCTCGGCCCACCGAGCAATTGTCGAAGGAAGTGGAAGAGAGTGAAGGCAGGGGGAACATTGGACATGGAAGAAGACATAAACCAGAGGACTGCGTGTGTGACCTGATAGCAGAGCTAAACCTGGACAAAGGATAGCTTGCCAGTGGGTAGAGTGAGTTACACTCGTAGTGCAGAGAGAGAGAGAGAGAGAGAGAGAGAGAGAGAGAGAGAGAGAGAGAGAGAGAGAGAGAGTTGTTAAAGGCTCCCTTATAAAGAAAGGTAAGGCATCACCCTTAGATGAAATGTTTGATTGGTTTTCAATCATACATGCTTATTGCACGATTATTCTTTAATTCCAAGAAGAGAAGAAAATATAATGTGCATGTATCTGAGAAATTATTGTATTATAATAGCTAATTACTTTACAGAAATAATTGCAATTCTGTGCAAATGTTTCAGTGTTACTCTGTATGTTGTGCTCTTTTACTTGTAGGGTGAGAGTAGAGAAACAGGCTTTAGCCTTTGTAAAGGCAGCAACAGCTCTGTTTGGATTCATGTCTAGCTTAGGACTCCCTAGACTGCCTCTTAAAGGGACAGGCGCCCATATAAAAGGTCATTAAGTGCAGAAAGGAGCTGCTTTCAGGAGCTAAATGGACATGAGTGAAAAGCCGTTTTAGTAGATGGGCCTGTTTTTTGAGGAAAGACGTTAATATGAGCATTTCATTTTAGAGAAGTTATGTTTGTATTTGTATACATTATCATTGGCACGGGCTCAGTCATCTCTGAGATGACATCATTGAAAAAGGTGTCAGCATCATGCAAGTAATGTTTTCCTGAAGATTTTGCATGCATAGAAATAACTTTGTGTTACAGTACGTAGCACAATTATGTTACTATTTGTTTGTATAGCAGATAATTTGTGAAATGGGAATATTTACATTCTGAAGTCTTTTTTTGTGCCAATTATTCAGACATCTTACATATATCGCTTTATTAACTATTAGTGTGTTAATGTGTTTGCATGGGTTTATTGGTGTGAATATGTTGCGTTGATGACATTTGATCTGCAGCGGGTCTGTAGAGTATGAGATCTGCTGTTAAAGAACTAGAAGGATACTGCAAGTTGTTAATCTTTCTAGCTCTTTGGCCAGCCACACTGTAAGCAAGTGTGTGCGAGCATGTGTGTGTGTGTGTGTGTAAGGTTTTGCCTACATTGTGAGGACTAGATGTCCCTATAAGGGATAGTAAAACCTACAACTGAAATCACTATGATTTATTTAAGAAATGAAACAATGTCTTAATAAAGCTCTAAAGGTTTCTGAGAGTTAAATGTAGGGATATAAAATATCTTTAGTTCAATTTAGTACTCTCATTGAGGTTCTTTCAATAAAAAACCCATCTGTTGTTGTCATGGACTACAGCTCTGTGGCCCTGAAAGGAGAAAGAAAACAGAAATTAAGCATTACTTTTGTCTGTGCAACTGTATTGCCTTGCAGGCTTAGTTTAAGTTAGCTATTTTGAATTGTGGGTGTATTTCAGTAGTGCTCTTTGAAACTCCCTGCAAATAGACAGGCAAATATAACACCCTGTCAGAGAGGAGTAGACATACAGACACACACAAATAATGTGTGAAATGTACGTATTCTTGAAACTTTCTCACAAATGTTTCCTCCTAAGTTCTCCTCTAAGCTAAAATATGATTTTTCCTTATAAGGAACCAGCAATTTTATGCATGCAAGTATACTGACGGCTGTAGTACATCTTAGAAACACAATGCCCATTCAAATATTACATTCAGAATTCTTATTATATTTTTTAGCCTTATTTTATTATAATTCTTAGTCGATTGGGCTTGATATCCACAGATTCAATCTCTCATTAAAGTATTTGTACAATCCAATGAATGACTGTCTGTCTGGTGAATATGGTAAACAATATTGTCTGCCTGCATTGGGAATTTTTGTGTTTTTCCTCCAGTTTTAGGATGTGCCACTCACAAATGTTTGTTATGGATCCCTGTGATTGCATGAAATGTTACAGGGAAATCTATATCTAAATGTAATGTTTTTTATGTATTTTGGTTACGTTGTATGTGTTGAACAGTGTAAAATTGTGATCTAGTGATCACTACCATTCTATTGTTCTTTGATTCATGAGCACTCTGCACCAAATCACATATGCATAAGTGCGTATCAGTCCAATGGATATGCTGATGTGTATGTGTGTGTATTGTGAGCTGTGTACAATAGACTGAAGCATTTAATGGCTGTGTGTGGTGTACACTGTAGCAGGGGAAAGTAGGACAGTGATTGGTGCAGATCTACTGTGGTGAAGGGATCTCTCCCTCCCTCCCGCACTCTCTCTCTCTACTTTCTCTCTCTCTCTCTCTCTCTCTCTCTCTCTCTCTCTCTCTCTCTCTCTCTCTCTCTCTCTCTCTCTCTCTCTCTCTCTCTCTCTCTCTCTCTCTCTCTCTCTCTCTCTCTCTCTCTCTCTCTCTCTCTCTCTGTCTTCTCCGCTGTTACACTCTAACTCAATAACCCTGCTCGCTTGCAGGCAGAGCTCAATGTGGGTCAGGAGAGCCAGTGTTCTCTCTCTCTTTCTCTCTCGGTCTCTCTCTTCCTTCATCTTTTTCCTGTCCACACACTCTCACTGCATGTTAAGTTTGCACCCTGTGCTCTCTTTATCCTCACTGATGTATGTAGATGGACATTATGTATATGCAAACATTATGAGCTTGAGCCCTTGAAGCATGAGGAGGATTTGGATTCAGATTTGATGATGGAGATGTGTTATCTGATGTCCCTGATAGAACTATAAATTATCACTTGAATAAAATAGTGTGAGCTTTACTCAAAATGTATTACCATTCTACTCACTGAATGAACACATTGATGTTGTCTTTTTCACTAAACTGATAAAGTGTGGTTTACACTGCTAACACATGGAATTGAAAAGGAAGTCAGAGTGGTCAGTAGAAATGCTGAAGTTTTGGCTTGGTTAGCATGGGCCAGTTAGCTATAGAGTGGTGCAGGTGTGACTGACATCACTTTGTAGGACAAAGCGTTCGCATTTGAGCACTTCCGGATCCATCGTCCCGAAGTCAATGGGTTTTTTGAATGGGGTTTTGGTTAAATGCCTGAAATAAGGTCTGTGGTGAACACAAGCTCAAGAAGCTTTCAAGTTGAGTGATAATCCAAAAGCCTATGGGAAAATCCTATTGGGTTTTTGTCGAGGGAACCAGTGTGAGATGGTTCTCAATGCAGTACATGAAATCCACGGGGAGGAGTCGGATCCAGATCCAACTCCTCCCACCTTACATATACCTAAACCTACCCATCTCCACCCCCTGATCCCTAAACCCACCCCTAATCCCTAAACCCACCCCTAATCCTACCCATCTCCACCCCTTGGATCTTTTGGATCTTGATCCGACTCCTCCACGTGGATCTCATGTACTGCATTGAGGTGCTACTGACCAGTGTGATGCTAACTGCCGGTTGGCCTACAAAGTAATGTCATACCTGCACCACTCACCACTCTCAATTTTCAGTTGCTAATCAAATTCAAGTATGTGCCATTTCAAGCTATTTTTTTATTTGGCACTCATAACTGAATGGATGTTATGGTAAAAAAATAACATAATATGCTACTTCTAGGCAGATGACTCAAAGGCAGTGCATAAAGTTTCTCATTTTTGTTTTTTGTCTGTCTGATGAAGGTACGGACTTATAACCATCAGTGAGAGATGATTCCACATGAAGCACATGGTTCCTTTCATTACAAGAGTCCTGACATTACGGAAGACCAAGGTAAAAGCGGGGAAAAGTAATATAACTATGAAAATCTTGACAACTGAGTTCTACTTTGCACTCTAAAAAATCCTGATCAAGACAAGTGGGTTAAATACAGGAAAAACTCCAAGACCATGAAGTCTAACCAGGAGCGCTGTAATGAGTGTCTTCCGCCGAAGAAGCGGGAGATTTTAGCTCTGGAAGAGAAGCAGGTGCTGGTGTCAGCTGCTGTTAGTGAGAGCCAGAGTGGAGAGAATTTGGCTTGGCTAGCCAGCGTTGCTACCATGGCTAGCATGGCCCACATCCCCAACAATGCAGGCCCATCACAGAGCAACAGTGCAGATCCTGACAGCCCCCCACCATCAAATAAGGCTCTCACTGTGGTGACAGAATATCCTCCAGCTACTTCATCTGCTGGCTTTTCATTCTCTTCCAATAGCTCCACATACAGAGGAGTCTTCTCCGGGCCTACCGTGCTAACAGCCAATCCTACAGTTCTCTCCACAAGCCTTCCTCAAACCATAGGCTCCGTCCAATATACACAACTTCCCCCCAATCTCCAGCTCATAGGGCCCTATACAAGTTATATCTCTTCACAGATTGTACCATCCACATCCAGTCCAACACAGCCACGGAGGACACCACAAGAGGTCTTGGCCACAACAGCTGTCATCTCCCAAGCATCCAGCCTTGATTCACAGAGTCATCATGTGATTTCTTCTATATCAAATGTTTCCCACAGTCAATGCATTCAGGTAGAGAGTGCTCCTTTGGGTTTGACAGTTTCCTCCCCTTCTGTCCAACTGCCCCTTCAAATCCATCCACACTCAACTGTCCTTGCCCCTCATGCCCTGGCTCTCACCCCCTCTCAAGTGGTTCTACACTACACCGATGGCTTCATTGCAAAGCAGCTGGACTCCCATCCCAGAGAGGTGCAAAATGGTGCACTAGGAGAGGTTACAGTTGTCAAGCACAGTACTACTATGGCCAAAGGGATCTCTAGCCAACCAGAAGGTGACCATAGCCACAAGCAAAATCATAACCTGGGCCTCCAGACCCAAGCTCAGGTTTTGCTCCCAGCAGACTATAGCTCTCATGACAGAGCTGGACTGCAGACTTCGCTGATGTTGGTATCCAGTAGCCACCTTGCAGCAAACAGCAACTCTGAGTTCCAAAGTATCTTGGCCAAGGACCACTCATCTTTGCACCTTGCTGAGAGAGGAGGTATCTGCCTAGGCAAGCCAATGTCCAGAGTGTCCGCTCTTACTTCCTCAGACAGCCAAGTTTCTCCGGCCTCCACCATCTCCCAGCACACACTCCTGCAGGCTCCTCACAACACTCCCCAGCAGGAGCTCTCCACCAGCCTTTATCCTGCCACACAGCTCCCAATTATTGGCTACATCACTAGTGCTTCTGGTGGACCCCAGCAAGTAGTAACTGGTTATCAAAGCAACCTGCCACAGCACGTGGTGATCTCAGGCAACCCCTCCTTGCTCATTCCGGTTAGTGCCACTAACATCAATCCATCTACTGCTGAGCCAGAGGTCACCCACTGTTCTGTCATCCCTAGTGTAGCCAATGCATCAACAGCTCTGCCTCAGACCTTTATTAATACATCCCCACCTGCAGCTGCAGCTTCAGTCCTAGCCAATGGTAAAGACATCACAGGGTCTGATGGAAGTCATGCCCCCTGTGCCATGAGAAGTCCAAGCCAAATACAGCTGCCTGTTCTTTCAGCCAATGTAGTGGGATCTCCAGTCCCTGTAACACCTCCAACATCTACAAGTCCTCAAAGCTCACCATCATCACCATCAGTGGGCCTACCACCATTCTTCATGAAGGGCTCTATTATCCAGTTGGCAGACGGTGAGCTGAAGCGCGTGGAGGATTTGCGAACAGAGGACTTTGTGCAAAGTGCAGAGGTGAGTGGAGAACTGAAGATTGACTCCAGCACTGTAGAGCGCATAGAGTGCAGCCGAACACCCAATGCTGTCATCATACAGTTCTCGGTGGGAGAGAACAAAGCCCAGGTGAGTCCGTTTCTTTTTAAATCAAGCTCACTTACCATGTTAGCGGTAATCTTCGGTAGTGCTGAATGAACCTTTGGAACTAAAATATTATTTTTGTTTTTTCTCTATTTTAGGTGTGTGTAGAAGTCCTGGTGGAATACCCCTTCTTTGTGTTTGGTCAAGGTTGGTCATCCTGCTGCCCTGACCGCACCACCCAGTTGCTAGCTCTATCCTGTGCCAAACTCTCTGTGGGTGATGTTTGTATCTCTCTCACCCTTAAAAGCCTAAAAAATAGCATTCAAAAGAAAAATAATTGTTCAGCGTCTGTGATGAAACACAACAACCCTTTGAAATCAGCCAAAAACAATGGGTCCATTGAGGAAAGACCAACCCAAATGGAGGATCTTAAGAAAGGACACAAACTTACAGCAAGAGTGGAGAATAGTGTCGAAGGAACACTGGTTGAGACTTCCAACCAAAGAAATGTGTTGACCTTCTCAGAGAACGGGGGCATAAATCCTCAGACACTGGTCAACCAAAACAACCAGGCAGAAAAAACACACACATCTAGTGCAGAGAGAGCAGTTAGCCGCAAGAGGAGATGGTCTGCCCCAGAGAGAGGAGAAATGTGGCGGTCGCAAGAGGACCCTCAGATTTTACCCAAATTTTCCTTCCTCCCTCATCAGCTGAAGGTCAGGATTGAGGGCCGCTCCAGCACGGGTTGCTGAGGGCCTTCTGAACACCATAGAGCATTGATAGGGAGTTGATTTCTTTCCAAGAAATACATCAATTAGCCTTACTTGATTAATTTGAGAAATCACATAAAGTTGATCAACTGAATAAATTTTGTTTTTGCTTGGTGTCCAATGCTTTTGCTTCAACCACAAAGACTTTGCTTCAACCACAAAACTTTCCCCATCACTGCCATGAACACAAAGAGGGACAAGGATGAGCAGATTTTCTTTTTGGTACTTTGCTTTTTGTTACTTTGCGTTGCTTTCCAATGACATTCATATCCAGGTTACTGTAATGTTATATCTTTTTACACAAGAATGTGTGTGATCATTTGAGTCGTCTCATATGTAATATTAATCTTTAGACTTTCCTTTTAAATCAGCTGGACATGGCAATTTTGGGTTGTATATTGCAATGTCTGACCATTTTTTTCTTTTGCTACACTCGGCTTGCTACACATTTAGTCTACTGTTGTGTTTACTGAATTTGTTCATAATCAGGGCCTTGAATGGATAATGACCGTTACAAGGAGTGATGGCAAAAGGTGAACAGTGAGATATGTAATTTGTGTGAATATTTTTACAAGTGATTTCGAGGAGTTGTGCGAGCACGTTTATCTTGACAGAAGCCACCTTCTACTTGTTATCCTGTGCTTATATAATGTCAGCTGAGAATGACAGGCTTTGCTCAAGTGACTACTTTGAATCATATCTAGGTCAAGTATAGCATCAAGATACATTGAATGTTTTATCCTTATATTTTAATTCAATTGCTGATAGTCTTCTAGATATGCAATACTGAGCTTTCACATACCTCATATGTGCATTTAGCAAATAACCCAATCAGATTGCCTCATCGAATCTGTGAGTGAGAAAGCGTTGAAGAAATCTTCACATTGTCAAACTGGCTATAGAAAAGTCTCCGCTCAAGTCAGAATTAGCACTTTAAAGAAAGGTTAAGGGAAGTCGAATGAATGAAAGGTTGGAAACATTCCCACTTCTGTTTTGTTACTACAACAACAGACAGTTTTGAGTTCTGTTATTCATTTCATTTTGTGCATTACTATCCATTTTATGTGCAACGCACCTCTAATTTGGTATTTTTAAATTACTGATGTCTTCTTTACACTATTTTAAGTATTGTGGGCCTTTCTCAGTCCAGCTGCAATAATTAAGTCTTTGTTAAAGACACAATATAATCGCCATACATTGAAAACTAAATCGACACCGCATTCTTGATGTTCAAAACAAGCGACGTTTCATAGGTTTATCCTAATAGAAATGGCCTTTTTGTATCAAAACTTTGTGGATAAAATTATGTGGAAAAAATGTATCCAGATATAATAATTTAATTAGCAAGAATCAGTGAGTCAAAGGAGGATGCTGTGCTTTGTTCAATCTGTTCTGCTATTGAAAATCAAATTTTCCAGTATAGGCAAAAATGGGAAAATATGGTTTGTGAAAATTAGACATGATCTAGGATATTTTTTTATGGACTATGCCTCAATCCCTCACCAAATTAAATATAGTACTCAGACTAATGTATGTCAGCCACTGTGGATCTCTTTTAAAATTTTGATTTCATCATAATTAGCAGTATGCCACTAGTGACCTAAACATGGACAGTCTTTGTATGTTCTCTGCAGATAAAAAAGAAAGAAAATGATGAATGTTGAGACACTATTTTAGATTTTAGTATCCACCTTGTCTATTTTCTCTGTGTCTTTAACGAGTTCGTTTGCCCATAAAATCTTTAAGATATTAGGTTAAACTTATTTGGCTTGCTGTCCGCTGGAGAGGGGCTCGATGAAGCAGCTTCAACTCGAGCTCTGATATACCCCCCAGTGGCTAAATGTAGGACCTGTTAATTAAAGGGCAAGGTACCTAAGATGAAGGTGGAGTTTGGGGAGGTGGAGGGATACTGGAACAGCTGATACTAGGGAGAGGTAAGCGGCTGCTTATATACTCTGTTTGTTGATTGAAAGATTGGATGGGCTCGCTCCTCCCTAACTTACGTTTAGGAACTTCATTTATTTTTGCTGTACTGGACAAGCTAAACAAATTTAAAGAAATTAATTTAGTACACTGAAATGACAAATTACAGATAAGATAATAAGACAAAGTTTTTTTATATGACAAATATAATATTCCATAAATAAAAGCCACATGGGATTGTCTTCAGATTTTATTTTATTTTTTGTGCAAAACAGTCACAAAATAATTCTTATCTAACTCCATTGACTGCTGTTATAAATTCAGAAAAAAATATTGGAATACATATAAGAATTTTGCTATTTGCACAAATAGACATTTTAAAGAGAAAAGTCAAGTGTATGTATGGAGTGTTATAGTTAACACTTCATATTTCTAGCTCGGTAGGTCACCTAAAACTATACATTTTGATATGTGTGGTCATGAGTGTGAGTTTGTTGACTGACTTAAGTAAAGGTATTGTTGTGTCTAGGGTTATATTCAGATGGAATCACAATAGACCTCATATTGTAGACGTAATGCTTGATTGCACATTCAGTCCAATTTGGAATTTATGCACTTTTGAAGAGAGAGGACAATGAAAGGGATGGTTGATTAGTAGCCTCATACCTACAATTTGTTCAATACAGTCTATTGTAATGGTGATCTTGGTAAGGCAGTAGAAGACATAGTGCTATGACAATAGAAACCATTACGAAATTGTCAATGTTTCTGGACTGTTGTTTGTTTCATATGTATCATTGTTCTCTCTCTTTTCTCTCCTTTTTCCCTGTGTAGCTATGTACATTTAAACCTCAGTATGTGTGTGTGTGTGTGTGTGTGTGTGTGTGCGTGCGTGCGTGCATGCATGCGTGTGTGTTGAGAAACTGTGTCACTGTATGTGTGTGTGTGTGTGTGTGTGTGTGTTTTCTCAGGTTGAGAAACTGGCCCGAAGACTGTTTCTGTTTCCTGTATTACTTTTTGCAAAAACACACAGTAACAACGTTACAACTAAAACTGAGTTCATTTTAGCTCCAGTGCTATGACTCATGGGAAGTCACTGGCTGACTATTGCGCCCTCTACAGCCCATCACTGTACATGCACCCAATGTATAAAGAAGGCTAACTTTAGCTAGCATGATGATGTGTTGTGAGTGTAGCTCACATGCTTGCTATTGAAAATATGTTCATATGAGAAAATAAAACTGTCTGGTGTAATGTACAAGGTTGGGCATCAACAATATGGCTTTATATGGCTGTCCAAAGACAGTCAGAATTTGTTGTTTGCATATGCCTCAATGGTCCATAGCCAGGATTAGCTCTAGCAATACCACAAGGCCTCATTAAGGGTTGGAAGACCAAACTTGACATCTAGAGATTGACCTATAAAATACACAGTCACTGATCCCATTTTTTTAAAAAAAATTTTATATTATTTTAAAGGAAGGTCTAGATAGTTTACCCCCCGTTAAACCTCAGAGTGACACTTATCTTTAAAAAAGAAGGAAAAAAGCACATAACTGATTTCTCACTTTCTTATATATTTGATGTAAACGACTATATTTGTGTGATTCGTTGTACCTGTGATATTTTTCTCATTCTTTGAAAAACTCCTTTTCTACAAACTGACAAAAAGCAATTAAGACAGAAGTCAACCTCAACTTTTCTAACTGTAGTGTGTTTATGTGAACAGAGCATCCAAGACTGTTCAGTGAAGTCAGTGATCATTTATTTGGTGGTGCTTGCAAGTTTTTGTAGCTGTTTTGATTTTTGTGAAATGGAAAGGAACATCGGACTCGACTTTTGGCGAATATGTCTAACTTCCTGTATAGTACAAATCTATTGTATCTGTATAATCACTCTAATAAAATACTGTGCCAATTTTACTTGCCTCTTTCCTTTGATTAACTGATATTTTATTTGAGACAATAAACCTGAAATTGAAACTGAAACAGGTAAGTTTTGTAAGTTACAAGTTTTGACTGCAGGCCACATTCAGATGCCTTGAATTATTCAGTGGCAAAGACAAGGTTGTGTTTAGAAAGCCTCCTTAGATATTGGCATTCTGACCACACATATTCTATAAATTCCTCATACACGCACATGGTGTGGGAAAATTTGCTAAAAGATTGACACAGGACTCAGCATTTAACTGAAGAGGATTGACTTTCAATAAAACTATTGCCCCGTGTCACAGCTCATATGAACTCTCTTAAGACACTAAGCTTCTGGTATGTGACAGATCTACTTTACATAAAACTCCAGCCACCCAATACATAACACATGTGAACACCCGTTCTCAGTAGTGATGTCAAGCTTGAACCAGAAGTATAGCTTGACATGAAAATAGTTTGTGACTCAGGCAAAAATTGTGCAAGAGTTATGAACTTTGGGCTATAGGTTTGTCTGTAAGCATATATAGTTAATGCATAGCAGTTTTCTTTATGTAGTAGAACATTCTGTACCTTGTTCAGGCCTGCAGCTGACAGACCCTCCAAATCTGGGGCAGCAGAGACAGGACATTGAGGAGCTTTTTTATTTCCTGAACATTTACTACTACCTTATATAATAGTCTTTCTCAACAAAATAAGATTCATATTTTGCATAGGTTACAATCTACTATAAGCAATATCACACAAGTTCTGTTGTATGAACGATTTACAACATTTCTATAAACAAAATGTAGCCTAAATATTGAGTAATATTGAGACACAATATTGCCAATTAATTTAGTTTTTCTCCACAAAAAAAAAAAAAAAGTTCCAAATGAAGCCATGTCAGAAATAACCACTCAGTCAGACAAAACAGTAGCACTGTTTTAATTCTAAATTAAGCAATGTGTTTAAACTAATCGGTTGATAAAATGACTCACTCATAAAGATTGTGAATGACTAAGGAACTGCATTTTAGCATTTTATTTGTGCCATCTTCATATGGCAGAAAAAGTAAAAGTAAAATGCAAGTATGCTGTTCACTTCCTGAATGAATCAGTATTTTTAAACGAATCGTTAAATTATTGATTCAATCACTCACTCATAAAGACGTTTCGCCACCTATTGGTGTATTGATGTAATCTGCAGAAAGAGTTAAAGGGATAGTTCATCCCAAAAATGAAAATTCTGTCATTAATAAGTCACCCTTATGTTGTTCCAAACCCATAAGACTTTCATTCATCGTAAGACTTTTCATTCATCATCAAGGGATAGCTTTCTGTCCCTCCATTGAACAGCTACTTTTATTCACATTTAAACATTAATAAGCAAACACAAACAGAAGCTCAAACGAACCTGCTTGACACGTGAGAAGAAACCTCATTGGTTCTAGCGGCTTAAACGTGCTGCGTAGCACACGAGAATGAACCTCATTGGTTCTCATACGTCAAGTGAACATGCTTTTTAACACAACGGATGCTGTTAAATGTTTATATTTGAACAAAAGCCTACATTCAATCTGTTAATCATTTAAAGCAATTGAGGCTCTTCAGAAAATTTAGACTAAACCGCTCAATTCATATGGAACGACAATTCAATGACATGCGGGTGAGTATTAATGACAGAATTCAAATTTTTGGGTGAACTATCCCTTTAAACCACCTCTGATGGACAGACTATAAGCATCTATGGCAGGGGTTTTCAAAGTCAAAGACAGTGGGCCTCCCTTCTAACACAACATTGTATTCAACTGGCCATGCTCTGTAAAGAAGCATAACACTGTCAGGTGTTTGCTTTACTGATATTTAGTAGTTGTCTTTACTGTACTCCACTGTACTGCCACTTCAGAATCATGATAACATTATATTAGTTATCACCTTTGCCGTCAATTCTGACACGTCAGACACTGTACATATCAGTTCTGTAACACATACAGTATATACAGTATCACTAGTTGCACATACAGTTTATTGGAAAAGTTATACGTGCAAAATGTGAGTCTCATAACTTTACAATGGGACTCCGTACTGTACACAGCATGGTTCATAGACTGGACCACTGTTGGAGAGATTTGCTGATATTGCCTGGTTAGATAATGTTAAGTTTCATCAATGTTTGCTTGTTCAAAATTTGAATATTTACAAAAAATATAATACAGCTAAATATGAGAGGATCAAGAGAAAAAAATTGTGTGTCTGAGTTTGTGTGACTAGTTTGTATGACCAAGGGTACACATGGAAAGGTGTAATATATTACTGTATAATGGAGAATTAATCTATACTAGAATTAATTAAACAAAACAAATATAATAATACCAGGCAGGTATTAAAATGTGTGTAAAAGCTCTTTATTCTATTCGGATACGGATGAAATACATGTCAGTATAAAAGAGGACATAACTCTTTGTTATTTAGACCTTTTTGTAATATAGTGCATTGAAGGCTTATTTTGTGAATACTGCAGTAGCACTAGAAAGACTCCCATTTCATGTAATAATTAAATGAAATATATTGTTTGAAATATTTGTACAATAAAACTGCATACACAAACAAAGACAAATATAAAATAAACCTTTAAAAATCCCTTCTGATAAAGAATATAGTTGATGGATGTGGAGTGTTAACAACTACATATGTATTGACTTGTGCATTCTGATACAGTACATAAAAAAATCATAGGAAATGTTGCTGTGTACCGTGCACAACAGTTGCCTCCAGTGTAAACGGTTAATTCATTTTTAGGCCTGTAATGTGCACACTATGAAAAATAACAGTATGATTAGCAGTAGTCAGAATTTTTTGAGGTACTTCTGGATAGCCAGCCTCACTCTGTGCAGTTCAGCTTAATAGAACCACTAAATATTTTATCCTAACATTTCTTCTGTATTTTTAAAATAGTCTGTGGCCAATAGTGTCCATGTGCGGTGTGCAGATGTTATCCATCCTACAGCTGGCAGGTGTTTTCTTTATTGGCACAATCCTCTGAGATGGCAGTCCCGCTGGGCACACTGAAGGTAGAGGTTTTTGCCTCTGCCAGGCCAAGTAGACTGGCACAGGTGGGTAAATAGACATGCTGAACACGGTCCACTTCTGAACGGCAAACTGGGCAACACTGATAAGAGAGGAAAGAAGGTAAAATATCACGTATGTTAACATACAAACAAATTCCTCTTATCTAACACCTCTATATTTTTTCTTTATTGTTCATGTTAATTAGGCAGTTGGGTGATGTGCCAGTTTTACTGAACTGATATAACACTTCTGTGATGTCAGAGGGTGAAATTCAAAAGGTCATAGGACTGCTGCGTAACGAAAATGTCTGATTATCAAGATCTTCAGCCTGAACAGCCGCTAATGGTCGATGGCACATGTCGAGAAATATGCTAAGAGGGTAACCAGAGGTTATGTAAACCAAATAGTGCAAGTTCTCTTAATCATTAACTTAACTGGTCAATTTAGATGATGATTCCTAAGCATGAGAAAATCACACTTTGATTTTATATTGTCATGAATGTTGAATATGCTATATATATATATATATATATATATATATATATATATATATATATATATATTTAGTAATGATGCAATAATCACCTGAAGTTGGCTGGCACACTTATAGCAGCAGAACATGTGTCCACAAGGACAGAAAGCAGCATTGATCTCCTGTTCGCAGCACAGAGCGCAGGTCAGGGCATCTTGTAACATTTGGAGCTTCTCCTTGAGAATGTGAGTTTCTCTGCAGCCGACACACATTCGCTTTTCCCTTTCAACTTTTATCTGTCTCAGCGGCGAGTGACTGTAACTGTCTCTTAGGCTCCCACATCCATTCACAGCCATCCCTGCATTGAACAGGGCTCGCCGGGCACGGTCATACACTTCTTTGGATGTGCGCTGAATGTCAAAGATGTACCTTTTACCAAGGTCAATGCTTTCATTGAGGAAGAGGGAGGCCAGGTGACCCTTGAAGTCACGGCTATATTGCATCTTCACCGTGCTCATTACAGTGTCACACCTGAAGAGTTAAGTTCAAAATGTGTTGAATAAAACATGGGTATTAAATAGTTTTAATGTTGTTTTATTGTTCTAAAAATGTACAATATTTATTGATCATTAATGGAGCCCATAAAGTTTAGGTATTTCTTCTTTACATTAAGTTCAAAATTGAAGCAAATGCGGTAATTAAACACAGTTGAATTATTGTTATTGTTGCAATAACTAAAATGTAAATAACATTAAAATATTTTTGTTTATTGAAATAAAATTAAAAAGTAGCTTAACTGGGAAATCAAAAACTAAACTAAAATATTTTCTGTTTTTTATGACTCTAAAACAATAATAATACAAATTACCAAAAATACATGCTACAACAAAAATGCTAAAACTTAATATAAAATAAATAAAATAAAACTAGAATAAACTTTCACAGAGTGAAAACCAACAAAAACTAAAGTGAAAATGCTAATTTAAAAACAAAATAGAAATAAATTCGAAATTCAAAACTAGAACAACCCTGGTTGAACAGAATGAACAGAAACAGTAAACGCTTAAAGGTTTATTTCATCCAAAAATGAAGCAAGTCTAATAGAATTATAACAGTATTCACCTATAGAAGGAGTGAATCTCCGTGATAGCGCGATATAGTCCATTGGCAGCACAAGGACTGATGAACTTAAAAAGGAGAACCGTACTGTCCCCACTGTCCTTTGTGATGGTCACATACACATTCCTTCCGGACTGAGTGGCCATTTGAATGACTGGGTATACGATTCTGGGGGGAAAAGATTCGATTCTGATTTTTAATCAGAAATCATGGTATAGAAACATTTATTTTAAATCTTTAAATGACCTACTACATAATATTTCTTATATTTGTCATATATATGTACCTTTCAATAGTGGTGAAATCTGTTTTGCAGACGAACAGGCCCTCTGGTCCGACCCCGATGAGCAGCTCCTGTCCCTCAGAGTCACGCGCGGAATGCCACTCCACGCCATAGTAGTTGAGGGAGGAAACCAGCTGCAGGGCTTGATATTCTGCTGAAGCCTGACTAACACCCTCCAATGCCTTATGCCTCAAACAAATACTATAGAAACATAAAAGACAGCGCTGTTGTTAGACAAAACTATCTGAATCACTTCCTTTTTTTTCCTACTGCATTCAGAGGAAGAACAAATGTTATTCTGACTGAGAATATTCACTTCCCAGTGTTCTTACTTGTTGATGGTGTCATGGCTGGGCTCTTGACCATAGATCTGTGAGTAGCAGTATTTGGCTGTGTTTTGGTTGTAATCCCCAAACTCTGCCTGAGCCAGTAGTGCACAGAGCTTGATCGCCTGCTCTGCGTCCAATCGCAAGCTTCCTTTGAAAAGCTCCTCCTTCACATGCATCAGAAACAGATGTCTGCAAAGTAACAGAAAAATACATAGAAAACATGGAATAAATCTACATTTTGCAACAAAACACTGAAGTCTATATTGAATGAGGAACTAGAAGCACATTAATCACACGAAATGTATATTATTGTCCTAAATTGTTTTCATATGATAAATGATGTATAGAATATAGACACAGAAAAAGGCAAAAATTGTCCAATTTGGCTGAAACCCTAGAAATGTGGACATAATCGACATAGGAAGCAACAGCTTCTGACTGAAATGTGCTGAATCATCAGTACAGTTTTTTTAGTGCCAGAAGGGAAAAGAAAGCTTTCATAACTCCACTTCATAATCCTCTAAATTATGAAGTGGATTATGAATCCTCTTCATAATCCTACAAATATGATTCATGTATCATATTTGATACATGAATTTCGAAGGCCTCTAAATTATCAACATGATCAAAACTTTGCTGAAAAAACCATTTTATAAAATATTCTATGTGCTTTTTTGCACTCTGCTTGATAGTTCATACTTTTTTAGCAAGTAAAAGGCCTCGTAAGAATACATTTTATAATGTTAATAATATTAAAGATGAACATTTACTGGACTGAAGCAACTTGAAGTTTAGTTTTTATGTGTTTTTCTTAGAAAAATCATGATAAAATGCATTTATATACATTTTATGCAAGTAGTCTGTTGTGCTATAATAAAAAATCTCATTGAATTACATTACAAGAAATCTGAATTTCATTTTACTTTTTGGCCATTTAAATAATATCATCTGCTCACATTTGGACCTCTGAATAAAACTGATGTTTTTTCCTCCTCGGGTATGAGCGCCATATTCTCACTATACCATATACTATATGGGCCACAAAAGCCTGCTTAATCAAATATGAAATAAAACATAACTTTTTTTGTTTTAAATTTTGTCTAAAGTTTCAATAAACTGTTCCATCTATTATTTAGGCTTTACATGGTTAACTGAGATACTTGTTTGTGTAAATACCATGAATATTTTACCGTTTTTCAATCGTCACACTATATAGCCTAGTTGTATCTCTCAGAAACTGACCAAAAGACCACTGATTTTGTCTAAAAAATGAGCTGGCTTGAAGCCAGGTTTACTCAGCGGCCTAAACCCGGTGAACTGAGGTAACAGAAGCAGAGTTGGGATTTCTGGCACATTTTTTTTTCCCACAACTTTACATAAATCACTTGTAGAAATAGTATAATACATTTTGTAATTTATTCTTAATTTTGTAATTAATTTCTGGCAATAATGCAGATCAAACCTATTGCCAATTGGTGTATTTACTATGATGGGTATTGCATCACAAAAAGACAAATAGTATATTAGCCAATATGTATTTCAATATAAAACAATCAAGCACACAGCCTCTTCCATAATAATTAATCTGTTGTTGTCATTATCATGGATTTAAAGACTGAGAAACTAACAAAGGCTGATGGAGTACATTAGCTGGATCTTGTCCCACCATTGTATAAGATTATGTAAGAGGCAGAATCACATTACAACATGTTTCAACTCAGAATCAGACAAACTGACACCTCCCCACCCCCACCACCAGCCCTCATCAGACGTGGTGACCGAACAGCCCCACTAGTCTCTACTTAGGGAACACACTGTACTGCTAATGTATTCAGTGTTAACTTTTCTTTACACATTTAAACATGTGTAAACATTTGAGCCTCCAAAAAGCCTCCAGAAAAATATTATTTACCTCAGCAGGCCTACATGAGGCACTCCCTAACTGAAAGAGTGCCAGTTTCAAGAGCAAACATGAACACTGGCAACTCCCTACCACAGAGCCAGCAAGATATATGAAAAGATGTATGGAGATGTGGGACAAAGGTAAGAACACAAAACCGCCGAGGCATACAGAATTTTGAATTATGCTGTCACTTTAAGCAGCTGCTTCCTGTTTGAGCTCATGAGAAAAACAACTAAAAAAACAGAACTGTTATCCACGTTCTCCAGTTCGCCTCAAGTTCTCCAGACTGAGCAAAAATGTGAAACCTCAAAGATTCTGCAGCCACAGAGGGATCCTGTTTTTTTTTTTTTTTCAAAATGGAAAAATAATGTTTTGCTTATATTTGCACAAACTCTGAGCACTATGATAAAATATTGCAACTTTATATTCACTTGGGAGGAGTTTCACCTGGTTTGCTCTTGGAGGATTAGATGCGGCTCAACAAAGAACTTCACTCGCAGCCTTAGTCTGCAGGGAGACAGGCAGTCCACTTGTTGAGAAATCCTGTTTCTGAGATTCATCCATAAAATCTCTCCCTTTGCACCGGTGAACTGAAGTCCAAAATAATCCACCTCTATGATTCCCATTTTCCGGCATATCTGTAAATTAAAAACAAAACCATGGTCATTTTTTGTCATGCATAAGTGTGTGCTTTTAACCGAAGAATGCTAGGACTTGGGCTCTTTGCACCCCTCCTCCTTTAGAAAGACAAAAGTATTACATAAGAGGGACTTTTGAAGTGGTAATGTGGTATGAGAGAACACTTGCTTTTATAGTAATTTGCTGAAACATAAGAATGAGAAAAAGTTGTGTAGTTAGGTTATAAGTAACTACAATTTTTTTTGTGTATAGACTTTTCTAAAATACTTCTTGCAGTAGTAACAGCCAAAATATTGCTACATAGAGGCTAAAATAGTTACAATAATTTATAATGGAAAATAACTATAATAACTATAATAAACGTAATTATTTTTAAAAAACTGATGAAACATTGATAAAGCAAAAAAAAAAATTAAGAAGTGTTTTATACAGTAATTTGCCATGGCAATCATTACGTTTGCTGTCTATAGGCTATATGATGCTAATGAGTCTTAGTAGCCTACAAATGTATTAATGTAAATGATTGAATAACTTTCGCAACCTAAACTCACCTTATTGAGAATGTCCTCTCCGTTTGCTTTTGGGTCCACCTCCACTTCCAGAACCACCGAGTCCGGACGAGTTATGAGGCATAACATAGTGAATGGTTATTGTTTCACACACAGTCCAGGTCAGGATAGCGGAGAGAACGACCTGTAGCTCGGTCACGAGGCTGACTCGTACCCCATTGGAAAAACAGCGAGAGGAGGTTTATGAAGCCCTGCTCTCTGAAGGATCCGCCTCTCCGTTATCTGATGTCCGATTCGCGAATAGTTCTTTTGAACCGGTTCTTTTAAATTATTTATTCGAACTGATTCGCAAAGGCGTCTGTAACTGAATGAATGAATTAGGCATTTATATAGCGTTTTCATAGTAGGCTACTACACCACAAACAAGTCAATTAACTTCGTCAATCGACCATTTTTGTACTAATTGCGTTTTTCCTCTACAAGTCTTGGGGATAATTTACATAAAAAACATTTTAAATATCCTACTTTACACAAAGGACAGCGAGTGACAAAATAACATTAAAAATATGAGGGGCATATTACAACACATACAACAATATGGACATAAAGACAGTATGACAAGCAGCAACAGTTTTTTTTAGACTAACTGTTATGTGGGTGACATGGGATCATAAAAAAATGGTTCTCAAACAGTACCAAATTAGGGTTCTTCGGCTTATAACAATAGCAGAACCCTTTTTGGTGCTAAATAGAACCCTTTTTATAAGGTTCCATAAAGAACCATGCTTTGAAAGTGCTAGGACCTTAAAGGGGTCATAGACTGGATTATTTTATTATTTTATAATGTTTCCTGTGGTGCCCTTATAATGTTAGTATGAATTTAACATAAAAAATTGTCACAATTTATAAATAAAAGGCATTTTTCCAAGCCTGATTTTAGCCTCTGATTTGAACGCTCTGTTTAAAGGGGCGTGTCTGCTGTGAGACTTCAGTGTAAACGCCCACTGCTGTGATTGGTTGACACGTTTGCATATGAAATAGCTAGCATTACATGTGGAACTCTCTCTAAAACTTTTACTACGTTTTTACTATTACAGCTATCGAGACTAAGGAATCATGAAAAGTATTGATCATAATGATCTATTCCCATGAAAGGTTGCAGTGAAGAGCATTGAGCAGATGACAGACAGTTGATCGCGTATGAAATTACACCTCTGGCTTTCACCAAATAACAATACAAACACGATGCAAATAGGCCTACAGTAAGAGCTTCGTTGTACTGTACATTGTAACAGCGTCATGATTTTGAGATGATTGATTTCAACGAGTTTTGGCAAGGTTCCAGATAAACTCGCACTGTTTGACTGACAGCTGGGGCACTTGTAAAGGGGGCGTTTTTTTATCGCTTTCTTTAATATAATTTAATCACAGTTTAAATAGGATTATTTTCCTCCTACTAAGAGAAACGACGTGAAGTTGACTGTTTAGTCACTGGCTTGATTTATTAATGCATAAACAGTATTGACCGATATTTTGAGAGATAATCTGTGACTGTCTGAACTTGATTACAACAGAAATCCCTGATCACAGATCAGGCATTAGAATAAACATGACTACTTACATGTGGTGCTGCTGGCAGATCCATGTCGTAAAAGTCTGTTTGCAAAGCCTGCACCGGAATTTACCAAATAATTCACTGTGAAATACACCGAATACAAACAAATAATGCATTCCGGAGACATTGGAAGGTATTGATCTTTTCTCGTTCGCATGTCACTGTTCACTAACGCTCCAGTGGGTGGGGCCAAAGCTGAATTGTGACGTCACAAGTCTCCACTTTTTAGAGATCATGTCGTTTGCTGGCCTTGGTTTCAATAAAAGCAGTTTTTGGAATAACAAGAAAGTTTTGAGTTTTGAAACTTACAGGGTATTTTTATAGTATAGCGAACTCTTAACTTAAAGGATCAAGGAACATTTGAATTCTCATTCTATGACCCCGTTAATGGTGTAATAAATAACCTTTTTAATGATATTTATTTGTATTAATATTAGTATATTAGTATCTTCATATTATTAATATTACTATGATTTTTATATAAATTATGAATTAATATTGTTTTTTAGGTCTTATATCTTGTTGCCTCTATTTGGGTTTTACATAAAAAAAAACAGCATGTTGTGTCAATTAGGTCCTTTTATTTTTTATTGACATAGCAAAAATGACAGTGCTCTAACAACAGAGGTGAGCTGAATACAATAATAAATAACAATTGACATTGAACATGATTTAGATGTAATGAAGACCAAGTTCCAGTGAAATATCTTCATAGTCCTCTGATGTCTTTACGTCCTTCATTATGTGTGTATTCTGAGTGGCAGTTTCTCTCTGCAGATAATAGGGTTATGGTACGTGACAGTATCTGAAATAAACAATTGAGTTTAGAGTTACATTGTGTCTCTTCCATTTGTTCTTGAAGGCTAAAATTAGCAAAAATGGACGGTATGAAACCTTTACCATGTTAAAAGGAAAAAAATATATAAAAAGTCATGGTATAGCTTTATTGTTTGTTTGTTTTTTGTGACTGGGTAGCCTACGTTTAGGCATAAAGTCATAATGTAAAAAAAATCCATATCTTACTTTGTGGAGAAGAGAAGTATCCTTTAACTGAACAGAGCTGCTCACACTTAAGTTACATGTTCTGTTAAATTAAAAAAGGAAAAGACATGATTGTCAGGAAATGATTGTTACAATTTTTAAAGTTATAATTGATAGATTTTAAGAAAGAAATTATTTACCTGTTGAGAGTATGTTGACAGTCTGTGTAGTAGCTGTAGTTGTATAGCTGAGCTCCAGAAAATCAGTGACAGCTTTAACGTTAACAGTTACAGATTTGAAAAACAAAAAGGCGGAATAAAGAACCCTAAACTCTAACCTATGACTCTAACACAAAGAACCATTTCAGCATATAATGGCGCTTTTCCATTACCAGTAGCTGCTACCAGCTCGACTCGACTCGGCTCGCTTTTCGCTCCGTTTTCCATTGCAGAAAGTACCGCCACAAATAGTACCCGGTCGTCATAGCGACGCCTTTCGTTCCTCGTTGCCCCATCAAGCTCTCGCTGGATCCTCTCTTCGGCAACAAAACAAAGGAATGTCTGCACTTCCTCGTTTGACCACGGCGTATTCTTCCGAGTTGCCATAATAATAGTAGTAAGTTTAGTAACTATCTCTGACCAATCAGCATTCGGCCTTGTTTTCACGTCAATTTTAGTATCGCCTTAGCTCGCCTCAGCTCGCTTACGACGACACGGTACTAAATAGAACTGTTACTGCGTGAACCTTTAAAGAACCTTCTTTTTTAGAGTGGAGTATATGCGCACATCCAGAAAAACTTGGGATCATAACCCAATTGATATTGAGCACTATATTGTCTTTTATAGAGCTGCTGTAAAGCTAAAATTAGAGGAAGGGTACGTGATTTGTTCCAGAAACATTTTTCACAATGCAATGATTGGACGAACATTTTATGGTCTTATGCCTTCCACAAACAATATAGTCTAGACCATTTGACTTAGAGATTGCTATCAATGTGAAGAGACTTTCAACTAGTATAACAAAAAAAAAATGTTTCTGCAACAAATCACCTACCCATGCCTTTAACAGTTAGCCTTTAGTCTCACTCCAAGCTAAACTCAAAAGTTGCCGGCTATGTTTAAAGTTGTTTAATAAATTATTACCTTTGCAACATTGACAGTTATTGAACTGAATTGAATCAACATTGAACTGAACTGAGCTGAATAATGCCACTTCTGTAGAGCCACGTTGCAGCTGAAATTGAAGTAGTTTCATAATTAAGGAATTTTGCAACACACTGTAATTTTCCTGTTTATTAGCCTATACTGTGAAGCCACTTTAGGCCCTATCTGTATTGTACAAAGCACTACGTAAATAAATGTAATTTGACTTTAGTTTTTATATAACATAATCCATCTAAATTAGTACATTCGCCCCCAGTTTCACAGAATAGGCCTAGTTCCAGACTAAAATGTATACGTTTTAGCTAGTTTAAAGGGGAGATTGATTATGATTTCCCTTTTCTAACTTTAGTTAGTGTGTAATGTTGGTGTTTGAGCATAAACAACATCTGCAAAGTTACGACGAGTTAAAAGCAAAGGGAGATATTTGCTTTTAAAGAAATCGTTTTTTAAGGACTACAACTCTCCATCTCCAACAAACGGCTGGACTACACATAGACAGTAAAAGAAATGGACACAGCGACCCCATAGATTTCAACGGAGAAAATTGAAGCCCATTAGAAGCACTCACTTCCTGATGGCTGAGCGTACTGCGCAGGCTCAAACTGAGCTTGACGACGTAGATGTGACGTGAGCAACTGACAGTTGCAAGTCTTCTAGCTGTGCCAAGACAAATCTGAATTGAAATCTGAAACAAATCCGTTGTTTAAATATTTTGTCCCGTTGCTTTTATGGACTCTCTATCTATGGGCTTCTCCCTTGACTTTATGCCTCCATGTCCCCCGATTGCCTCGTAGACATTAAAAGATTGTCTGCGAGCTTCTCCTCCTGCCTATACGCTAATTTCTACTGTGCGATAGAGAGTCGCGGTTATGACGCAATCGTTGGCCTATTTTTACAAAAACAGCTTCTACGGGGCCATAACGTAAGATACAAAGTAGGCTAATGGAGCCTTTTATACATTGTCGTGTTTCTTTAGAAATAAATAATGGACAAATGGAGTCTTTGGACGCCTCAGATGTAAAGTTATTCGCTATCAAAATGACGCCAAAATGAATGGGAGTCAATGGAATGCTAACAGCAGGTGATGGTCTGCTACAATGGCGGCCCCCAAGGGAAGCTTCCGTTTCCGGCTGATGGATTACTCCCTTGGGACTACAGGACATTCCTCCTGGGTTAGTGACATCATGAACCCTAAAATTTACATAAACCCTGCCCCCTTATAGATTATCAAGACAGAATATGCTAATCAATGACTAAGATAACTACACATTAGCTACATACATTTAATCAACTAACCATTCAGAAATGTTGTCCAGTGCTTGTCTGTGTGAGGTGAAAGGACATAAGTTGTTGTAGCTCCGCCCTCGGTGCCGGGAGCAGCAGCTCATTTGCATTTAATGGCACAGACACAAAAACTGTGCGTTTTTGCTCACCCTCAAAAAGTGACAATTTTAACATGCTATATTAAAATATCTCTGGGGTATTTTGAGCTAAAACTTCACATACACACTCTGGGAACATCAGAGATTTATTTTACATCTTGTGAAAAGGGCATTATACCATTTTAAGTAACTTGAACTGATATAGCCTATCTTAAAATATGTTTTTGGCACGTTTATAAAAGCTAATTAAATGTCCAAATTGAATAAGGCCTAACCCTGGCTTAACCTAAGCCCCTGTCTGTGAAACCAGGCCATAAATTCTAATGGGAACTGGTGATACGTTATCTGAATCGGTTCATTCGAACCGAAAGAACCGCACGAATGAACCGAATCGCTAAAATGAATCAGAGAATTGCTGAACAACCCTTCCTTTTGTCACTTTCACTCTCAGTAAGGGGGCGTGTTTTTAACCAGTACGGGAAGGACTCACGTTAGTACAGCTATCTGACAGACGACGCTGAATCACATTTTCTTACTCTGGGTAAAAAAATAATGTTATGTTAATAATACAGTGATCCAGATCCATTATTGATTATTGAGATAAACACTGGCTGGATGAATCCAGCTACTGTAGTCCTGCAGACATTGTCCGACGGAGCAAAGCCCACAACGGGACATTAGGATATTGCCCTATGTCATAGGATGACTGAAGCCCTCGTGAAAGACTGTAAGCACACACAGATCTAACCTAAATGTCAAGCCTGTGTAGAGGAATTAAAGCAGCTCAAGGACATGTTTGAGAATTTCAGAGAGAGACTGCAAACGGTGCAGCAGGACTTCACATCAGGGTACGTATGAGCTGCCTGGCTGCTTTCGTACTATCCAGAGTCTTAATAAGGTGTTGAGATAGCAAAATTATATGACCTATAGAACCTGAACTCATATTACACAATATTGACCTAACTTCTGCTTTGGCTTCTTGACGAGAGTGTCCGCTATTCAGCAGAGAGCCGAGAAGTGGACGCTAGCTAATTAGCCTGCTAATAATCTCACTTACTTACAGCCAAGAGTGATGTTTGTTTTTGTCTAAATATTCACAAAACAAAGGCTGCTGGGTATTAAAGGAAAGAAAATGTATTAAATAATTTAATATTTGAGGGAAGAAGAGGGACACGAGATGTTTAATGTTGTCAAGTTAGCCGAATGCTAACAACAACAATCTTGCACTAATAACTTCCAGCTGACTGTCATGTGATGGGCGAAACAACATTACTGCCTTTTATTACATTTTCTCAAATAAAACTTGTTTAATAAAATGTAAATATTTCCAAGACACTGGCTGCATGTTTTATATAACGACAATAAACCAAAACATATAGATGTAACCAAACAATAAAATACTGTAGTTTTATAACTAGGCATATTATTTGGATTTTAGGATTTTTACAGTGTCATATTTCAAAACTTCTCAGAATCAAGACCCTAAGTGACAAATCCAAGGAGGGGAAAGTAAAGAAAAAACAAAGGTAATGTGCTCTCTTGTTTTTACACACACACACACACACACACACACACACACACACACACACACACACACACACACACACACACACACACTTGTTTTTATATTAAATGTAGACTCTCCATAGGCGCAATGGGTTTATTCTGGCTAATGATATTTTCTATACCCTTACCATAACCCTACCCCTAAACATAACACTTACAGAAAATTTTCTGCACATTTTACTTTTTTATTCAAACATCATTTAGTATGCTTTATAAGCTCTTTTCCTCGTGGGGCTCAACCAGATGTTCCCACAATGTAAAAAAATTCAGGTTTTACTATGTGGCAAGATTTGATATATATATATATATATATATATATTAAATGTCTTGCTTATATATATATATATATATATATATATATATATATATATATATATATATATATATACATAAACATATATTTATGTCATATATTCTCCCAGAAGAGATGAGCACCTCCCTGAATATTCTGCTGGAGTCGAGTTACTCAGTCGGTAAGTTGCTTTCCTTTTTTGTACACAACCATATCAGAAATGTCAATGATGTCAAGTTGTCAACAAAAATTACAGTGCAGTGGAATCAAAGTAAGTATTTTGATAAATATCTGAAGTTGATGAATGTAGTAATAACTGTTTTTTTATTTATGTTTGGGCTTTTTCTTCACTAGATATGAAGACACTTGGGTCTCCCTTCATAAACGGGGTAAAGAGTGTGCTAAGGCTGGGGAAGTAAGTTCACACACATAATTCGGTACAGTTGACTCATTTGTGGTGCCATAACCATGGTAACTAAACCCTGTGGTCTGTCAGATGGTGGACGGAGAGGTGGTGATGCTGTGTGCACACTGGGAGAAGAGACGAGGAGCAGTGCTGGAGCTGCAGGAACAACTGCAGCAGATCCCTGCTTTCCTCTCGGACTTGGAGACTATCACCTCACGTATCGGTGAGACATCACACATAAGAATCTTAATCAGTGACAAAAATTAGAGGTATTCGTACAGGGATACTTAGATATTTATGGTATTGGTAGAGAAGGAGGTTATTAATATTACTTTTTAAAGGTTCGTTCACCCAAAAATGAAAATTATGTCATTAATGACTCACCCTCATGTCGTTCCAAATGGTAAATGGTAAATGGACTGCATTTATATAGAGCTTTCACAGACCCAATGGCCACCAAAGCGCTTTACAATTTGCCTCACATTCACCCATTCACTCTCTCATTCATACACCGACGGGCGACGGCAGCCATGCAAGGCGCCATCCAGCTCGTCGGGAGCAGCTGGGGTTAGGTGTCTTGCTCATGGACACCTCGACACTTGGTCAGGTGGAACCGAGGATTGAACCACCAACCTTTCGGTTTGTAGACAACCTACATGAACCACTGAGCCACTGTTCCAAGCCCGTAAGACCTCCGTTCATCTTCGGAACACAGTTTAAGATATTTTAGATTTAGTCCGAGAGCTTTCTGTCCCTCCATTGAAAATGTGTGTACAGTATACTGTCCTTGTCCAGAAAGGAAATAAAGACATCATCAAAGTAGTCCATTTGACATCAGTGGGTTAGTTAGAATTTTTTGAAGCATCGAAAATAAATTTTGATCCAAAAATCATAAAAACTACGACTTTATTCAGCATTGTATTGTCTTCCGGTTCTGTTGTCGATCCGCGTTCAGTGATGCTGCTGACGTAAGACACTGCTGACGTGTATCTGGTGCGTCCGTATCTTTTCCTCTTTGTCGCCATCTCTCTGTTCGAAATCTGTAACTGCAGTGATTCGCGGAATTATCATCTTTACGTGGGTTGTAAATCGACATGAAACAGCGCGGATGAACACAGTGCTTTGAGGCGAGTGGTGCTGTCAGTCACCGCGCTGTGTGGATACTGTCATACAGAATCACAGATTCACTTTTTGAAAGTTTGACCAACATAAGAATTTTCATAAGAAAATGTCTTCTGAACAAGTAAGTAAAATCCATTTTTGTTCTGACCAACTAAGGGGGAAAAAGCATTCGACATGAAAAGCTTCGTTAGATTTAATCAACGCGATTTACAGCAACCGTGCAAATTATAGCCTACTTTGTTCTCAAATTGTTCATGTTAACAACATCAGCATTGCGTGACTAATGTTAAATTTAATGTGTTTTATGGTTAGCAGCTACCTGCGTAGTTCAGAATTCATATTCTCCATAATAGCAAAACGAGAAAGGCACAACAAAGGAAACTCCATAACTGTGTGAATTAAGAAAACGTACTGTTACACGATTGAACTATTGAAATGTCTTAACTTACTTGTTCAGCAGAAAAAAAGCCGTCTCTTCTTCTGTTTTGAACCCCTTCAAAACACGGAGTTCACGCACTTTTCAAAAGCCGTTGTTTAAATGTTTAAATCCTTGTGTTCGCATGAGACGGTTTCTTTCTCTTTCTCTAGCCACCTTAAATCCGAAGTACGAAGTCTTTTGGGTTTTATAACTGCTGAATCTCCATTTGACATTGATGATTGTTGTTTGGATCTTTCTGGATGCCATAAGTTTAATTATGTAAAGTGCTCCGAGAAAAGCCTATACATCTAAACATCTCGTCACGCGCAGTATAGCCGGCTAGCCGAAACTCCTTCTTTATGTGTACGGGTGTGACGTCATGACGCAAAGACATGCTCGAATTTCCCGCGGAAACCCACCAGTACCACTGGAATTAAAATCATTATTACAAGCTAACCGTTTTGAATCTAGCTATGGCAAGCAGAGAGTTTTGACCACTGGCAGAATAATTTTTTTTTTAATATAATTATTTTGGATTATTTTTAACTTAAAAAAGTTATGGACTGGAGCTTTAACTGTCATTTTAGTTCATTTGGATTCACTGACAATCTTCCTCTCTGATTCTCATTCGTACTTCTTTCCATATATTGATACTTCATCCCAAGCTGGCACAATGTGTCTCGACTTACCAAACTTGAACATGAGCTGCTGTTAAGGGAAGAATTATCAGTGAAATATCACTTAAATTTCCATTTTTTTATCCTTGTAGAAAGCTATCTTAAAATAAAGTGCAAGTCATATGGATTGCTTTTATGATACCTTTGAAATCAGTGCTTATTGTACATCTCATGTGGGCTTAAATTGAGCTTTTACTGTGATAGTAGAGAAATAAGATCACCTTGACTGCCTTTGCAGAGTGTTTGTCTACACACAATGCTACACACTCTGTGTGTAACTGTGGTGCATGGTGGTAATGAGAGTGATTCCTGTGGAGCTCCATCTGCTGATGTCAGTAGCTGTTGTTCATGCCGTAACGTTGCACCTATTGGCTTCAATCCTTAGACTTGGCTCCCTTACAAAGTGTATTGTGCAGACTGACTACACAATAGCCAATCTAAAGTTGCTCTGATCGTTCAGTTGTTATAAGCTCTTTTTGTAGTGTTTTGGACAAAATTACTTTTTGTAATATGCATCTAGTTAGTGTAGATCAAATAGTACATTTGCTCCAAGCAGTTATATGCAGTCAAATTATCATCTGAGAATCATCAGAATCATTTTTGCGTCACTTTGACAGCGACATATTATTTGCTTTAACGTGTTATAAACTTCTTTAGTCTTCCATGTTTTTGCACAGCTCACATGGAGGCTGATTTTGAAGAGATGGAGAGTCGTCTGGTATATCTCGAGGATTTGTGTGCTCAGTGTGATCATCAGCGCTACAAGCACTTTCAGGTCCTGCAGCTGGAAAACTACAAGAAGAAGAAAAGGTAAAAACAGCGTTTATTTGCTCTTAAATAAAGGCCCTAGACAGTTTAATGTGTCCATTATGTCTTTTAGCCAGTACTTTTCCTTTCTGCTGTCTTTTGTCCCCTTGGCTGAATTATAACCAGCCCTATATGTCAGGAAGCCTTTGTGTAAGGGTTCTGTAGGAAAGATAGAATGGGATTTAGGTGGTACTAGTTACCAGTGCATAAATGCATGGTTATCATAGCATCAAACACCCGAATCATCACATTTCCCCTTGAGCACTTGCTCATTCAGAGATGATTCTTCTGAAGGCATGCTGTGATCAGGACACGCACTGTGTGCTGCTTTTCATGGTCATTTGATCAGCTCACAATAACTGCAGAACATGAAGGTTCTGCCCATCAAGGATTTGCCCCTTTAACTTAATAAAGGAACAGTACATTGTCATTTTGAGTTTTTGACGGTGTGTTGAGAACATATTAGGGCATCTGTATTGAATAAGAGTTTGTGAAACAAGCAATGTAACGGCTGCTGTTTAGATTGTTTATCATCACAATGAAACTGCACACAGTGTGTTTTGCAGATTTCACAGAAGCATTGAATAACCACACGCAGAAATAAGCTTTAAGGAAAACACGCAAATGTCCTATTGTTCTTGTACTGTATGAAAACACTACCAAGCATGTATGTGTTTTGTGTAATCATACAGGCATTTGTGTTTTTTTTTTATGCTGTGTGCTCTCGCTGTTTGAGCCTGTAGCTAAATCATACATCTCTGGCTTTGCCCAGTGAGTTGAAAAGCAGCTGGGCTCAGTTTCTCAGTGCCCTTCTCCTTCTGCGTGTGGGTATTCATTAGTACAAACACACAGATGCAAAAGTTGTCAGCGCCTATGAAATGCTGCAGCCTCTTTTTCTCGGGAATCTGTGCCTGCTTTAAATGGGGCTGACTTAATGTGACATCTGGTGAGATCTTGTGCTCTGTAGTTGACTATATGTATTTGTTGTGTATGTAACTTTTATTTTATTTTATTTGTTTTCTAGGAAAGAACTTGAGTCTTTCAAAGGTAAGAATGATCATTTTGTTATATCTCGAAGAGCTCAATCAGCCTAACTCCACAGCTAATACGAATATACATTAATCAATATGTTTACCAATATTTTATATATATATATATATATATATATATATATATATATATATATATTATTTGTTGATAATTATTACATTATATTTATTTATATTAACAAGACAGTAAAGATTTTTATATTGTTACAATTATATTTCAAATAAATGCTGTTCTTCTGAACTTTCTGTTCATCAAAGGATGGATAGAAAGAAATGTATTACGTTTTTTTCTCCCAAAAAATATAATATAACAAAATATTAAATAGCATGGCTGTTGTAAACATTAATAATAATCACATTATTTAAGCACCAAATCAGCATATCAGAATGATTTCTTAAGTATCATGTAACTGTGAAGACTGGAGTAATTGCTGCAAAAAAAAAATCATCATTTGCCATCACAGAAATAAATTACATTTTAAAATATATTAAAATAGAAAGCAGTTATTTTAAATTGTAATAATATTTGACAATGTTGATAATGTTAGTGTTATGACTATATTTTTGATCTAATACATCTAGACTTGGTGAGCATTGAAAATGTTTTACAGAGCCCAAGCTTTTGAACGGTATTGTATTTAATTAGTTACTTATAATTATGTAATCATAATTACTTAAAGTGTTATAATTTTCATTAATTATAATTATATAATTTTGTTATTTATATTATCAACTTATTATTTTAACATCTTAAACTGATTCAAGAAGTAGAGAGATCATATGCACTAAAGAATTGTATGAAGATAAATAGTTCAGTAAAGGGAACGAGTCATTGACCACTGACACTATAAAAATAGTTTTTTAATTGTGATTTAAAGGTAGAAACAGAAAAAAAGATCACTGAGTCAATAATGGTTTCTTATTTGATGGAGGTGCAGGTTTCAGAGGGATAAATAGCTCCCAGTTTAGACGTTTTGTATATTATTTTAGCATTTTTATTTACATCATGAAGCTCATTTAGTGCTGAACAATGAGGATAACCGTGTAATAATTACCCAGGCGACACAAATCAACCTCAGGGAGGGCAAAACTGCTCTAGTGAGTGGACGCTGTCGCTGCTGTCTTTATTTGGTCTTATGATGCCATTAATTCCACACTGACCTCCAAGGGAGGCTGCCTGCTCCATCTGTTCATACCTACCGTCCGGAGAAAATAACATTCACTTTCATCATCGCAGCTCCTCCATGTATCAGATAGAGATGTTGTACTAAACAGAAATTGCCTTTAGGCGGCTATGCATCATTGTTCACATATCCGTGCCCTTTATCTAGAGAACATTTAGGTCATCTGAGTGTAGAGGTTATTTTGTAATTGATGCAAAAGTAGATGTTAAGAATAAGGATTACATTTTTATTTTATGTATTTGTTTTACATCCTAGTGATTCTACAAATGTCTTTGTCACTGAAAAAGTGGTAAAGACTGTTTATAACACTTCCTTTGGTACGTAGGTGGTGTTACTTGAGATTGGCTCGTTGTTTGTGTGGGCAGTGTGCTTCAAGACTTCACATCTAATACTTGATTATTTATTTATTTAGGTTTTAAAATGATTTTTTTAATGTTTTTATTAATTCATTTTTCCCATCTGGACAAAGAAGCTGTGGTTTACTAGTATGTGCAGTGTAAAATGCAACGCTGATATCTGTGAAAGACTTTTAGATTTATCAATGACTTTTATGTGTAATGTGCTTTTGTGTCAGATTGCAGTGTTTTTGGCACTAACTAATGATTATTCACACTAATGTTGACGTTATTCATGTTGTCTAATTCTCTAATTGTAATATTAATCATAAGTATAGTTGAGTGTTGTATAAAGTATAAGATCGATTGATTAGTCCCAGATTGCAAAGCGATGAAGGTGAATATTTTACACAAAACTCAGATTTCTACAGACCCTCACCCCTATAACAGGGTGTGAATGGTACGTTCCCTGCTTTCCTCCTCACTACAGCTGCATCTGTAGCTCTGTGTCCCTGAGCAGGCAATGTCTCAGCATTCCTGGCCATAGAGGAGCTGCTTCTGGAATAAAAACGGCTGCAGAATATAAGATGTTCGTTTAGCTGTTCTTCAGCCTCACTTTAACTGCAGTCTCAGGCTTATCAGTCCTGCTTTCAGCTTATCTGCACTCTTCAAGGAGAAATACAAAATGTCCACGTCGGGAACTCTGGACAGCAGCATGAGAGATTCTTGTAGGTTTCCAGACACTCTTTTTTTAATTCAATATTGAGTAGATGGTTGTAAGGTTAATTTGATGTGCTGATGTATCGCAGTTTTGGCTTCATTTCAAGGGATCTGAATTGGTGGTGTGCAGTCATTGTTTGTCATCTTTGGGTTTGGCAGGCTTTAGTAAAGGAATTTCAGCGCAGATTAGGATGCATACTGTGGCTTTTGTGTCTGTATGCCTTTTCATTACCAGCCATCATAATGCAAGCCTATGCTGTGCTTAGAATTATATTTTTTATAAAAGACTTTGGATACATCAAATTTAGATGTTGCTGTAAATCTGTTTGAAAGACATCCTTGCCATGGAGTTGTTGTAGCTATTAACTTGAAGTTGGGGTTCGTATTATTCCTGCTGTTGAGAGCATTGCTGTAACATGACAATGTCTTAAAGAGCCAAAGTACTGTTTGCTTAACTTGTGTTGTGTGCCTTCAAACCGTTGGGCCAATTGGTTTATTTTTGACCTGTAGAGTTGTAGAGCTGCAGCCTCGTGGCTCATGTATTACAATCTCATAAAGTTATCTCAGAGATTAAGCATTCACTAGAGATAATTGATATATTATATTATATTATACGGCGTGAGCTACTGAAGCATAAAAGGAGGAACGACGACATGTTATGTTTTGTTTATGTATGTGCGGCAGTCGTCCGTGAGGGGCTGCCACTTTTACTTTCGTTTTGTTGTTTGTTTATTTTGATATATTAAAGTGTTTGAAAGTTCGCCGGTTCCCGCCTCCTCCTTCCCTTATCAACATACCTCTTTACACTTATCAACGCTGCCCGCAAATTTTTTTAATAAAATAGCTCAGCTACTGAATCGCTACATTAGATTTCTCAGCAACGAGGGGGTTACTTCGCTATTTTGAAGTAATTAAACTCACAGCTTCATTGTTAATAGAGAGAAGCTGAACAGACGCAGGTACGAATATCTCTCTCTCTCTCTCCCTCTCGATAATTAATTCAAATAAATGCTATAATTCATTCATTCAAATAAATGTAATCTTACGCACTACTTTATCTCTTTGTCTGATTGAAAGCAGGCAGAATGCTAGATCTAAAACATGTTAATAACCGTCAATTTTACCCTTCCGGTCAAATATTGCACTGCAAACATCAATGATAGCTTTAAGTTGTCAATGGTGGCAAATGACCATGGTATAAGCGGGATAATCCACGGCTAGCCGTGCATTAAACATTTTTAATGCACTTCGCGGAGGCAGCCACCCTCCACTTCGCGTCGGGTGGTTCCTTGCCTCCATTTCTTGCATTAAGTAAGGGATAATCCATGGCTAAATAATTTTAACACTAGAACGGCCATGACGGTCATTTTGACCGTTTTGAATTTTATATCTGCAATAACTTTATTGAAAAAATAAATAAAATCCTGCTGGTACCTGACTTTTCCTAAAAGTGTCTGTATTTTCATTTAAAATGTTTTACATATAAATTACACAAGGCAAAAAAAAAAATGAACATTTACATTTTACCTATTTCGGCCATAGACGGACATATTAACCGCACTGAATTTCGCTGTATTCTTTTGTTAAACTTGTTTAAATGTACAGTTTGTTTTTGTTTTTAAAAGATATCCTAATACAATAAATGCATTAATCTCTCAATTGGGTATTTATCATTAAAGATATAGAGTTTGGAATCTAGCGGTCAAAATGATCACTTGTGGCAGTTCTAGTTGTTATGGAATTCTGGCACTTCTAGTGTTAATGCACGATGTGGAGACAAAGAACATCCCGGCTTGAAGCAGACCTATTTTCAAAGGTTGTATAGTTTGTGATTTGTGCGAGTTGTATGTTTTCTAACATAAAGTTGGTAGAACATTTAGGTTTGAAAAAATCTAAGCAAAGGGGTTACTTTTTATTTTAAGGTGTCCTTGTGACAGTGTAATTATACATTTACGTACTGAGTAATATCAAGTAACAACATGTACTTACTATAGGGTATGGGGTTAGGAATAGGGGTTGGTTTAGGATCAGTTGCTTGTAATTATGTGTAATTTACTGTTATTACTACAGTAAGTACATGTAACGTGTAACAAGGACACTGTAAAATAATGTTACCAGCAAAGGTTCTACTGACACAAACCAGAGACTATTTAGTAATTCTAAGTTAGTAAATTAGTAAAACTAGTAATTCATTGTACATCCTAATTGACTATGGTTGTTGGGCAGAGTAGTGATCTTGAACCACCCATGTGTTGAAAGAAGACAGTGTTCATACATTCCTCTGTCTCTTTCCTCTTTCTGTTGCTGGATTCTGGGGTTCTGTGTGCAGAGGCAGGTCAGCTCCTTAGAATGAGTCATTAACCTGTCTGGCCCATGGGCAGAACCGGCATTACCATCCGCTGCCAGATGCTCCACTGATTAGCACTGCATTTCTTCTGCTGCATTTTCCTAATAGAAGATTGATGGTTTTAAAGGGATAGTTCGGCCAAAAATGATATTTAACACATGCATTACTCACCCTCAAGCCGTTCGAGATGCATATGTCAATCTTGTTTCAGACGAACACATTTTCAGTTATTTTAAAAAATGTCTTAGATCCTTCAGTGGATATAATGTGAAGCAATGGGGTCCACCTCCTTCAAGTCCCAAAATGTGCATACATCCTTCACAAAAGTAATCCATCCGGCTCCAGGGGGATAAACGAAGGCCTTCTGAGGGTAATCCGTGCGGTTTTGTCGTAAAAATATACATTTATAAAA